CGAATCTAAACTAAGGTGTTACGACATCTTGTTATTATTCAGACACAAACAACAGAGCATTTGTTTGCTGGTTTTTTTTTCTAAGAAAGCTTTGGAAATGAAACAATAATGTCTAATAAAAAAGGGGTCTGGATTAAGAAACTGAAGTTTCAAGAGTCATCTCTTCTGGAGCAGCACCAAGGCTGCAATTGTCTATAATTACAGCCTGGAAGATGATGATGCTATTTACTTTTGTAGATATGCAAGTATAAAGTCGGTAGTAAAAACTGGCAGGGATTATGTTTAGTCGTGTGTGAAAAACACCAGGGCTCAACTTTTATCTTTGGACAACGCAACTTGTAATGCAACAAACACAATTGGTACGTGTACAATAGAGTTTCCTATAGCAACAGAAGTGACTTGGGAAGCTGCAAGTCACTTCTGGTGTGAGAGAATTGACCGTCTGCAAGGACATTGCCCAGGAGACACCCGGATGTTTTGATGTTTTTACCATCCTTGTGGGAGGCTTCTCTCATGTCCTCACAATGTGGAGCTGGAGCTGATAGAGGGAGCTCATCCGTGCTCTCCCCAGATTCGAACCTGCAACCTGTCGGTCTTCAGTCCTGCCAGCACAGGGGTTTAACCCACTGCGCCACCGGGGGCTCCATGCTGACCACATGACTTTGGAGGAGTCAATGGACAACGTCTGCTCTTCGGCTTAGAAATGGAGATGAGCATCACCCCCCAGAGTTGGACACGGCTAGACTTAATGTCAAGAGAAAACCTTTACCTTTACTATGGTCTTTAAGATTTTGCAGGCTCAATAAATGTTTTTCAATACTTGTGAGCAATGGCATGTCTCCCATTGCTTACAAATTACACAGCAAATGCAGCAGGTGCAGACATGCCAATGTTTACTATACTAAGAAGTCAGCAACCTTTACTAAGACTTTGATTGTACAGTTCTCAAAAGTTTTACACTCATTTGCCTGGATATGGAGGCAAAATAAGGGACCTGCCAGTTTTTAAACAGGTTTAAGACAATGTTGGGATTCTATTTTTTGAGTAGGAAATAATTTAGTAGCAAGGGTATTCTGGCTTGAAAATACATACATCCTGATTTTTCCTCTCTAGCAGTCAGGAAAAGAGAATGCAGCACTAATACTCTGATTAAAACCACAGTTCAAAGAGAGTATGGTATTGTTTCTGAAATAAATTACAGAAACAGCAATAGGCCTGCACTCTTTTTCTCACAAGCACACCTAAAATATAGAGATTTTGTAGAAAGTACTTCATACAAAATTACACAACATTTTTTTTGTATGAAAGATATTGCGGTGCAACAAAAATATGCTAAAAGTTTAATTTTTCCTTTTTGTGTTGGTAATATTTTTAAAAACATGACAAAAAACACCACAATAAGAACGCAACTGATAGCCTGAAGCTGGTTTGATTGAGAATGTAGACTGTCATACTGCACATCATGAAAAGGATTGGATATACCATCATGCCTCTTCTCCTTAAAAATCACATGCTTATTTTTGTTGCTTCCCTTTAGAAAGCAGGAGGCGGGTATGCATTGCTTTAGCAGTCATTCAAACGTGCAATAATGTCAAATTTTGTATTGATTTCTGAGGCACCAGATTGGATAGCACATCTAACTGAACAAATGCTTACTGTTGTGCCACTGAGTAGAGGAGGTATACGAGAAAAGTCCATTTTTTGTCTGTCTAAAGCCATTGTTTTTGTTTCAGGTCTGCACAGTTAGCATCTGAAGATAGGTTCTTCATTTAACACAAAGCCTGATCGTGTTCCCAAGTCAAAGTGACACAATGATATGGCCGGAAATGAGACAGTTAAAGCAAACCCACATAAAGCCTTTGAACGCCTTGTGCAAAATGTTCTAAAAGAGATACAAGGGTAGCAATCTTTTTAAAATGTTACAAAAATGATCACAATTAAACAGGAATACATATGACAGCTACAGCCATGTGCCGACACATCTGTATGCAATAAATACATTGTGATAATGAAAAGATATTACAGAACCACAGAAAATATCAGGATGTTTGAGAGAGATTGAGAGAGAGAAAGCATGAAGAAAAGGGAGGAAAGGGTTGAAGCCAAGTGATAGAGATATGTCAGGTATTAGATAATAGCTACTGGGATTCTTAAAGATATATCAGCTATTAGATTAGCTACTGGGGACCCTTCCACACAGCCATATAACCCAGAATATCAAGGCAAAAAATCCCACAATATCTGCTTTGAACTGGGTTATCTGAGTCCACACGGTCATATATTCCAGTTCAAAGCAGGAAATGTGGGATTTTATTCAGCTGTGTGGAAGGGGCCTGGGATTCTTCATCTTTCATCTCACATGTTATACTCCTACCCTTACATGACTAAAACTAGACCTCTAATCATTTGCCTTAGTACTATTGTTTAAATAAGAAGCCTCTTACTTAAAAGCTGGTGTGGGATTTGAATCAGCTACAGATTTTCACATACAGGATCTGCCACTACTATGCTTGCTACAAAGATATGTACTCACTGATTTGTTTTCCTTTACTCAAAGATCATTTTAATCTTCCAAGATTTGCATTTCGATTTCTACATGCTTCTCACACCACAAAAGTCTAATTCCAGTGAAAGTGCTTGAGACATTCACCACTTAGCTAAGGCTACTACGGCTTTGACAGGGTTAGTAAAGAAATGATTGGACTCCAAAGTTTTGAAACAGTTCTGTTCCCAGCAGCTAGACAAAGGTGAAATATCAGGAAAAGAAAGGAGAAATCCTTCATATTTTAAAAAGTTGACAAGGGGAAGTGACTTTCATTCCTGAGAGTCAAAGGTGAAGTTACTAACAGGTCCGTGGGATCTTTCCTGTTGCAATGGAGAACGGCCATTCTTCTTAGTTGTGTGTCTAAAGACTGCCCTATGTCCCAGAATCTGATCCCAGGCTATCTGATTTGAACTGGATTATATGAGTCTACACTACCAGATAATGTGAGATAAAAAGGTAATCTGACAGATCCTGGGACAATGTAGATCCAGTGTTAATGTGTCTTCAAGTCGCCTACCAACATATAGTGATCCCATCAATTTTATAGTTTTCTTAGGTAAGTAATACTCAGAGGTAGTTTTGCCTGTTCTTTCCTTTCAAATATAGTTGTCAATACCTGGTATTGATGGATAGTTTCCCATGAAGTACTAACCAGGGATGACTCTACTTTGCTTCTAAGGGCCATTCCAGACAGGCCATATATCCCAAAATCCGACCGCAGGTTTTTGCTTTAAACTGGATTATATGAGTCCGCACTGCCAGATAATCTGGGATAAACATAAAACCTGGAATCAGATTATGGGATATATATAGGGCCTGTCTGGAAGGGCCCCAAGATCAGAGGGCACCTGGTGCCTTCAGGGTTTTTAGGTCTATTGACAAAAAAGAGTCAGCTCTTAAATTCTTTCTTGCTATTGGAAAAAAAACATAAGCAAAGCAAACCCTGGAAATGGGCATACTGTATTCTTCTGGAAGAAGCTTTATATCTGCTTCATTTCTTTCTTTGTTTTGTTTCTTAATTTTGTAACTATAAGAAACCAAATTGCATGAGGTGTCATTTCTTGTGATTTAATTAATGAAGCTGCAATTGGTTATCGTTGACCTATGATGAAACTAGCCTCTCATGCTCTGGATAAAACTTTTCTAGTACTGGTGGAAATAGAAGGGTTTGTTCAAAATTTCTTTCTATAGCATTTTCCAGAATTGTATTCCGGATTCAGCAATCCACTTTTTTTTTTTGTCGTGTCAGGAGCGATTTGAGAAACTGCAAGTTGCTTCTTGTGTGAGAGAATTGGCCGTCTGCAAGGATGTTGCCCAGGGGATGGCCGGAAGTTTTACCACCCTTGTGGGAGGCTTCTCTCATGTCCCCGCATGGAGAGCTGGAGCTGATAGAGGGAGCTCATCTGTGCTCTCCCCGGATTCGAACCTGCGACCTATCGGTCTTCAGTCCTGGCAGCACAGGGGTTTAACCCACTGCGCCACTGGGGGCTACCTAGCAATCCATTGCATTCTTGTCTTGGTATGGGATTTTCAGCATGGGAATCTGATATAAATATATATGTGTGTAGGTTATGTTGTGAATCCTGATTTATCTAGCCAGCTAGTTTTTGTTTAACATGGCTAATTTTCAATGTAGTGTGGCAAATAATTTCTACTCATTCTTTTTCTGAGAGATTTGAGCAAGTTTTCATAATTAAATAATATATTTTACTATCAGTTTAAGAATAATATATCAGGAATGTATTTGATGCTTGTGAGCAATGAATGACCCATCATGTAAAAACTGTTAATGCTAATATGTTAACTTTTGTAATAGCATGTCAAAATTCTGCTATAGGAACTCCCATTGAAAATAATAGGTTCAATGTATTGTTGAAGGCTTTCATGGCCGGAATCACTGGGTTGTTGTAGGTTTTTTCGGGCTATATGGTCATGTTCTAGAACATGGCCATATAGCCCGAAAAAAACCTACAACAACCCAAATAATATGTTGTTTAAATCATGTGGTGGACTGCTGCCGCACTGCTTGAGGACACCTGCCTACAATGCTGCTTAACTGTCTCAAGTCTTATAAATAGAAATCCCAATCATGCAGCTATCACAAATCCATAGAGTGTTGATCATGGATCAAATGCTATCCAGCCATTGATTTTGTCCTTTTATTGAGGTGAAAGAGGAACTTGGCCCATCACGTCTCAGACTGGATCTAAACTACCATATAATCCAGTATCTGATCCCAGATTATTTGTTTTGATAATATGAGGGCCCTTCCATATAGCCCTATATCCCAGAATATCAAGGCAGGAAATCCCACATTATCTGAGTGTGGACTCAGATAACCTAGCTCAAAGGAGATATTGTGGAATTTTCTGCCTTGAAGCACTTTAACTACTCGTTGGGTTGCTCTCCCTTCATTTCTTTTAAAACCCTTTTACCAGATACATCCTACCTGTTCATGCCCAGTGTTTATTTTTTAAATTTTAAACTATTACATTTGGCCTGGCCATAGGTTTCTTAAATCCTTGTGTGTTATTGTTTATATGTGAGTTATATTAATTGTATTGTTTTTTATTATTGCTTTTTGTTTTATTGATGTGTTGTTGGGCTTGGCCTCATGTAAGACACTCCGAGTCCCTTGGGGAGATGGTGGCAGGGTATAAATAAAGTATTATTATTATTATTATTATTGATATTGATATTCTGGGATACAGGGCTGTGTAGAAGGGCCCTGGGTCTACACTGCCATATAATCCAATTCAAAGCAGAGAATCTAGGATCAGATACTAGATTATATATCAGTGCAGTAGGGACCTCACTGCCTTCTCAAAACAAGTCTTTTCAGCTTCTCTCACCTTGACCATAGATAATCCATCCACTAAACTCCTTCCCTTTTCCTCCTCTCATTAGTTTATGACAAAAGAAGCGGACGCAATGACTCAAGAGTAAATGAAGCATCCATGTTATGGAAGGAAGAAGGAAGGAAGAGGGAAAGCTCAATGCAATAACAAAATGTCTTAGGTAGTTTAGGTGCCTCAAAGGCTATGACAAATTAACATGGGTCTTCTTCTAAGATTTACTGCTGAGCCTTCTTTTGTGCCATTATCAGAATCAGAAACTTGATAACAGGGATGGGCAACTTTGCCAAGTGTGGCATGGCATAGTGGCTTCTCTTCTCCTGCAACTGCCATGTACTGTTGGTAGCTCTCTGTGATGGAGGAGGGTGCCATGGTGCCATAGGAAACCACCACAGGACATAGTGTTGCCCATTCCTTGTTATCTACTCATGATCTTGCAGAACAAACAAACAAACAAAAAAACAGAGCAAATGTTTCTTTTGACAATGAAATAGGATTTGGGTCCTGGAGTTTCCCTCAGTTTTTTATAGGAATTATGAAACTGGAAGTAATCATTGAATTGTGACCTAATAATGGTAGCCTTCATTTGGATATATTTGTCTCACTTGGGAAATGGAAGCTATTTCTTTGCTTGTGATCCCATTTTTCCCCCTGAAACAAGACTCTCAAATACCAACACAGAAAAGCTATACAACAGCACACGATACAATTTTTGTGCAAGATACAAATAGTTCAAGGGCCTCCAAACAGGTATAGTTACCACCAGAGTTGGAGGACATTGGTTCTTTAATTTTTGAAAATGTGTGCATTAGCTATATCCCAAATCCTGAGTTGTATTCAGTAAAAGAAGAATATGAATAATTACTGTTGGTATTCAAGTTTTTATCAGTGAGTATCAGTTCAAAGATTTACTTTAAGGTGCACTTGGCCTGAGAGTAAAGAGGATTTTAGACACTGAGATAGAATGGCTTGAAATGAGAAATGTTGTCTGATTAAGCTGTCCCTAAATAGGACCTCATTTTCTCAAGCTATCTTTGCAAGCTTGATTAAATTCCTATAACATCTCCAGTAATAAATACTGTTGCTCTACATACGAGAATCTCTTTTGCGTACTACATTGCTACAAAGAGATTGCTTTTGCAAGCGATTTCATTTTGTGTTGATAGCAACATCTGTCATATGGCTTAGAGCTTTAGTTTGGGAATCGGAGCACATGAACTATGTTCTCGCATGCATTTCGCTATAACTAGTTGAAGGGACAAGCAGGGAGGGAGGGGGAGGCATACTTCCAGATCAGTAAAATTTCCTTCACTAAAACAACTACCATGAGCTGTGCAAATGCCATGATGTCAGTCATGGCTTCTTGTGGGAAAACATGCTGGGTTTAGAGAACCTCTTTGTCTGGATCTGGCAGCGTGAGAGTTTCTGGAGCAGATTTTTTCCGTGGCCGGTCTTTGGGAATTGCTAAGAATTTGGGTGCTTCTGTGGAGAGAGGTGTCGACGGAGCACTAGAAGGAGTGCTGCGGATAGAAGAGGGCAGGGAGATGTTGGAGATTGATATCGCAGGAGGGAAGAGCCCAATTTTCTTGTTGGTAGCTTCCTGAGTTGCTCTTTCAAACTCTCGGACTTCATCCATAGTCATGTCTTTAAGGAGAAAACAAGAGACAGGTGAATTAGTGTTAGCAGCACTCGACAAGTTCCTTCCAATCACAAAGCTTTGATGAATGCCCATTCCCCTCCCAGCATGAATAATTGTGTTTTTGAACTCCATAGTTTACCCAATATTCTCACAACAAGCTACTGACATTTCAGAAGCCATAGCTCTGGCATTGGTCCAGGCCCGTAGCCAGGATTTCAATTCCGGGGGGGGGGGGGGGGGGGCTGAGTCTGAGGGCATGGGGTCTTAGCAAACCTTTTGTATTGTTACCCCAATACCCCCATGCATATATCCCTCCGTTCTGAGGACCAAGATCTATTGGAAGTCCCCAGTGTCAAGACCTTGCGTCTAATAGCAACCAGACGCAGAGCCTTCACAGCAGTGGCACCATCACTCTGGAATACTCTGCCACCTGAAGTCCGTGCCTTGCGGGACTTACCAGCTTTCCGCAGGGCATGTAAGACATACCTGTTTCGACAGGCTTTTAATGTTTGATATTGTTGTTTTTAAATTGTTTTAAATTGCTTTTAAATTTTGTTAGATTGTAGCTATTCTTGTAAGCCGCTCCGAGCCCCAGGGGAGTGGTGGCATATAAGTTTAAATAATAAATAAATAAATAATAAAATATATTGAGTATGGTGATCAGATCATGATATGAATTAACATAACAGTTTAAATAATGCACCAGTAAGGCCTTTTCGCGAACCACCATGAGAATTTCGGGGGGGGGGGGGCTGAAGCCCCTCAAGGCCCCCCCCCCCCCCCCCCCCCCAGCTACATGCCTGCGTTGGTATTTCCTTTCTTGGAATTGTCAATCACCTTATACATACACAGGGAGAAGGGAGCAAGCTTGTTTTCTACTGCCCTGGTCCCTGGAGACACGTGGAACAATGGCTTCAAACTACAAGAAAGGAGATTCCATCTGAACATGAGGAAGAACTTCCTGACTGTGAGAGCCGTTCAGCAGTGGAACTCTCTGCCCCGGAGTGTGGTGCAGGCTCCTTCTTTGGAAGCTTTTAAACAGAGGTTGGATGGCCATCTGTCAGGGGTGATTTGAATGCAATATTCCTGCTTCTTGGCAGGGGGTTGGACTGGATGGCCCATGAGGTCTCTTCCAACTCTATGATTCTATACTAAATGACTGGGTCAGACAGTAAATTATTTCTCAGAGTGGTAAAAAATGTAGAACATCTGTTTCCATTGAAGGCTTCAGTCAATGCTTTCTTACTCTTCTCTGTCCTTGTCCAAACTAGAGTAGACTTTTGATAACAATAGACGCTGCATCAGGCTTAAAATTACATTCGGCAAAACAAAAATTCCTTCTTCGCTTCCCTTAATAATCCCTAGTAGACTGATGCTGGTGTTTTTTCTTCCCCAGATAAAGGCTAAAGAGAGGCCCTTTTAACTGTTTTACCAAGCAACTGATGTGAGTTCTATTATATGCATGTTATTAAACAACTGGAGTAGGGGCGGTTCCAGACAGGACTTTAATGCAAGCGCAGTCGGGATTCAAAAATCTGATTGGGCCTGCATTGGAGTCCACACACTTCCCAAAGGCCCGGCACTTTCCTGAGATGGTGGTGTGTCCAGATGCCCTGCTGGACCTTCTGCCAGGGCAGCTGGACACAAAACAACCCCCCTCGCCGCTGCCAGAGCTCTCCTGGTGCACCATTTTGGGGAGTGGGGAGTGATTTTCCTCCTTCCCTCTTCTCCTGGCATGTCATTTCTATGTGTCAGGAGAGCTGGGTAAGTTATTTTATTTTTAAAGGCTTTTCTGGGGGGTTTGGGGGAGGTGGTTAGAACCCTCTCAGGTATTCTGGGCTGATTCAACCTGGAAAATGTGAGAGGGCTGTGCGGACAGCCCCCTCGGAAGTGCCACAACTTCAGACAAACCCCATACCCCATAAGATGTGGGCCTTTCAGGAAGGCCTGGACTAATGGGGTATCTAATTATTTTGGGACAAAGCAGGGTTTTCCTGCTTTGTCCTGAAGGAATTCATTTTGCATGGGCATCATTTATCCTGGAGGGCACGCATTTTGTGCCCTGTCTGGATGGGCCCTAAGGCCCCTTTCTTACTGCTCCTATATCCTAGGATATGATTCCATATTTTCTGTTTATCTTAGGTTATCTGGCAGTGGGAACTCATATAATCCAGTTTAAAGCAGATAATCTGAGATCAGATCCTGCAATATAGGGCAGCGTGGAAGGGGCCTAATACTCCAATTTAAATGGTTAGAGTTGATATGTCTGATGACACTATGGGTCCTTCCAGACAGGCCCTATAACCCAGGATCTGATCCCACATTTTCTGCTTTAAACTGGATTATATGAGTCCACACTGCCAGATTATCTGAGATAAACAGAAAACCTGGGATCCCATCCTGGGATATAAGGTCTCTCTGGAGAGGCCCTATGTAACACAATTTTGTTCCTGGGTTATAAATGTTGTTTCTTAATTGGTTCTATCATAAAAACATGGAAAAAATTTATTAATCTGCAAAAACTTGGTTTTTGTGGGACATCCTGCAGCACATTTTGCTATAGTTTCTCAATGAATATCTCATCGAGTCTCAACCTATTCCACATAGTTTGTGGCAGCCACAAAAATGAAGTTTCTGGAGTATAACAACTACTTTCAAAGTAAGTACTACACAATTAAATAGAAATAACACTTTCAAATCAGAAACAGAATTATTTTTAAATTTGGTTACATAGTGTAATTTAAAATTTGTATATTATTTAAAAACATTCTTTTTGTTGTATGAAGCATTCTGTTTATTTGTATGAACATTGAATTGACCGAAATCCTTCCAAATGCCATGCCTTCTTTTGAGACACGAGAACATACCTTGTCCAACTAAACACCGATCAAATAAAGCCAAGCCACTCATGGTTCAAAAAATATTGGCAACATTATCACTTAATTGTTGCACTTGGCCTGTACTATACCACTTTAATACTTTCAACTTTCCCCCATAAATGGCATGGAGAATTGTTTTAGCACAGTCTTCTCCGTGACAGGCTACTTTTTTCTCCATATAAAAGAACTGTATCATGTGAGCCATCCACCAGTCTGGACACATGACATGTTACAATGACCAGCTGTGTGTGTTTGTGGATATGTATGATAACTGCAAAAGGATCTCAATAATAATATTCAAAGATGTTTGCTTTCAAGTGATATTTGAATGCTTTTCTTTCTAAAAGTGTTGTATAAAGCATAGAGATCAGGAAACCTACGTCTCCCTAGAAAAGTGGTTCTCAACCTGTGGGTTCCCAGATGTTTTGGCCTAAAATCACCAGAAATCCCAGCCAGTTTACCAGCTGTTAGGATTTCTGGGAGTTGAAGGCCAAAACATCTGGGGACCCACAGGTTGAGACCACTGTCCTGTCCTGGAAACAAACAACATCCACAGAGACACAGGTTTCAGCACCCCATGCTGTATACTATAACATATCAAAGCTGATTATGAATTAAACAGCATTTTGGACCCCCCCCCCCCCAAATTCATTGTATGTCAATAAAGGTTTTACAGGCATACCTTAGTTGACAAAGCCTCTTACAAAGAAGCTCCAATGTTTTTACAGGATCCACATTATCTGCTTTGAACTAATCACATGGCAGTGTAGACTCATCAGGGTCTACAATCCGGATTTTATATGTCAGTGTAGGGCCCCTTCCACACTGCCCCTATATCTCAGTCTCTGATCCCAGATTATCTTCTTATCCCAGATTATCTGGCAGTGGAGACTGATATAATCCATTTTAAAGCAGATACTCTGGGATCAGATCCTGCAATATAGGGGCAGTGTAAAAAGGGCCTTAGAAGTTCAAAATGCTTTTACCAATCCAAAGCAAAGGATATTTTATTCCAAATGTGCATACTGTTAGTTTTGAATAAAAAGTTTGACGAAGTCTGTTGAATTGCTCCCCTTTTGTGTATTGTAGGAATCTATCTCTGTTCTTTCCATATTATTTCTGCCTCTGGCACAAAATTTTCTGTGAAATAAATAAAAGCTCTGTAATGCACCCACTTTGCTAACAGTAGTATATCTGTACTTTCATAAAGATTTAACAGTTCAAAATCAGTATACCGTAAGTACAGTAGCCTAAAGAAAGGCAAAGCTTATTTGGTCTAGCTGTTTAAGGAGCCACCATGGCGCAATGGGTCAAACCCTTGTGCTGGATGAACTGCTGACCTAAAGATCGGCAGTTCGAATCCACAAGACGGGGTGAGCTCCCGTCTGTCAGCTCCAGCCTCCCATGGTAAAACATCCTGGCATCCCCTGGGCAACGTCTCTGCAGACGGCCAATTCTCTCACACCAAAAGCGACTTGTGGTTTCTCAAGTTGCTTCTGACATGATTTTTTAAAATCCTGCAAAGGGTTCAGTGGCAGCTTAATTTCACTAAAAATAGTGTACAGTATCCCAATGTCGTTATTTGATATTATACAGACAACATTTATGAGTTTGTTAGGATCCAGCTGGCTGGTGCTGTGCACCTGAAGAAACCGCATTGCTTAATAATGGCTGCTGTCCAAGATCCAAATGAGGCCCTTATTTTAAGAATGGGGGGCTTTGGCTTTTCATTCAGAAATGGAACAAAATATGTGTTACTACTCAACGCTACGCAATTCCAGCAGAGGGCAGAGTTACGTTACTCCGGCTCCTCCTTTAGAAAATTCCAAAGCTAAATTCCTCTCGGCTATTTCCTTCTACCAACTTAAAATTAAAGATCGGTTCAGCGAAAGGTCATCTGAGATCTGCACACCTCATTTTCCAATCCAGATTGGTGTTTTGAATGTCAGGGAAGGATTTGTTATCCCAAGGCCAAAAATTAAAAAGATCCCAGCCCAGTTTGGTTTCATTTTAGTCCCTCCTTCACTGACTAAGGCAGTGGGTCTCAACCTGTGAGTCCCCAGATGTTTTGGCCTTCATCTCCCAGAAATCCTAACAGCTGGTAAACTGGCTGGGATTTCTGGGAT